CAAAAAAAAAAAAAAAAAGAAAAAAATCTCTTGGTTGGGCACAATGGCTCAAGCCTATAATCCCAGCACTTTGAGAGGCCAAGGCAGGAGGATCACTTGAGCTCAGGAGACCAGGCCGGGCAACATAGGGAGATCTCATCTCTGCCAAAAATACAAAAATTAGCAGGGTATAGTAGCTACTCAGGAGGCTGAGGTGGGAGGAAGCCCAGGTGGCAGAGGTTGTAGTGAGCTAAAATTGCACCACTGCACTCCAACCTGGTGACAGAGCAAGACCTTGTCTAAGAAAAGAAAAGAAAAGAAAAGAGAAAAGAAATCTCTTTTTGGTCTCGGTTTCAAACAGGCTGACATTTTACTGAGCAAGTGGTTAGGGTTTTTGTTTAAGAACTTGGTGTATCTTCTCAAGCCCATTAGGATGGCCATTATAAAAAACACAGAAATAGGCCAGGTATGGTGGCTCACGCCTGTAATCCCAGCACTTTGGGAGGCCAAGGCAGGCAGATCACCTGAGGTCAGGAGCTTGGGACCAACCTGGCCAACATGGTGAAATCTCATCTCTACTAAATAAAAAAATTAGTCAGGCATGGTGGCAGACGCCTATAGTCCCAGCTACTCAGGAGGCTGAAGCACGAGAATCACTTGAGATGTGGAGGTGAAGCTTGCAGTGAGCCAAGATCGTGCCACTGCACTCCAGCCTCGGCAACAGAATGAGACTCTGTCTCCAAAAAAAAATTAAAAAAAAAAAAAAACAGAAATGAAAAGTGTTGGCAAGGATGGGAGGACATTGGAACTCTTATGCACCATTGGTGGAAATGTAAAATGGTGCAGCCACTGGGGAAAAGAATCCAGCAGTTCCTCAAAAATTAAACATAGAATTCTTATCTGACCCAGCTAGCACACTTCTGGATATACACCCGAAAGAACTGAAAGCAGGAACTCGAACAGATATTTGCCCACCCATGTTCACAGAAGCGTTATTCACAATAGAATAGCCAAAATGTGGAAGGAAGCCAAGTGTCCACGGATGAATAAATGGATAAACATATAAAGGATACACTCACAATGGAATCTTTTTCAGCCTTAAGAAGGAAACACACATGCTACAACGTGGATGAACTGTGAGGACATCACACTCAGTGAAATCAACCAGTCACGAAAAGGTAAATGCTATATGATTCCACTTCTACAGGGTCCCTGGAATTGTAGAATTTGGAGACAGAAAGGAGAAGGGAGGTTGCCAGGGGCTGCGGAGGAGGAAACGGGAGTTCGTGTTTCACAGGGACAGAGCTCCAGTTTGGGAAACTGGAAAAGTTCTGGGGAGGATGGTGGTGATGGCCGCACAACAATGTGACTGTGCTTTTATGTCACTGACATGCACGGGGAGAAACAGTTATGATGGTAAATTGTATAATATGTGTGTTATACTATAATAAAGCAAGATTGGGAAAATAGAAGAACGCTGTGTATCTTTTTTTTTTTTTGAGACGGAGTCTCGCTCTGTCGCCCAGGCTAGAGTGCAGTGGTGCGATCTCCACTCACTGCAAGCTCCACCTCCCGGGTTCACGCCAGTCTCCTGGCTCAGCCTCCCGAGAAGCTGGGACTACAGGCGCCCGCCACCACGCCTGGCTAGTTTTTTTTTTTTTTTTTTTTTTTTTGTATTTTTAGTAGAGACGGGGTTTCACTGTGTTTGCCAGGATGGTCTCGATCTCCTGACCTCATGATCCACCCGCCTCAGCCTCCCAAAGTGTTGCGATTACAGGCGTGAGCCACTGTGCCCGGCCTAACACTGTGTATCTTAAAGCTAAGGTTTCTCTGCTCGGGTCGTCAACTGGGGCCCCCTCTGGCCGCTCTGCTGGGGCCATCAGGAATGGCTCTCGTGCCACACTGCCCGGCATTATTGTCTTTTCCTACTTTTCAGCCAGTCAACGCTCACATTTGAAGTGGCTGTCAGCTACTATACTTAATCTCCTTGTATTACCGCGTGTTCCCATATGGTCTGGATTTTCTGCAATCCACCTCAAATGCTTTTTAGAAGGATGCAAGATGCAAGTGGATAAGAGAGTTACCATGAGTGCTGGTCCCCAGGAGCCTCCTGGGGGCCCTCACCTCGCCCACAGGAGACGGAGCACGGCCCTGCCAGAGGGGTCCACACATGTGCAGCTTGAGCCCCCGTCTTGATGCTGCCCCATGGGGAGGGAGCCTCCTCCCCTGCAGAGGTGGCATCCAGCTGTGGGGAACAGCAACAAGTTCATGGGTCTGGGACTCCTCTGAGCACCCAGAGACCCCCGTCCCAATCTTCTCAGGAGGCAGCAGAGAGAGCAGGAAGTGGCATGTGCACACCAGGGCTCCCTCCCCTGCTCCTTTGGCTCCCCGGTCTCCCGGTGGGTGTCCTTGCTGCACACCCCACCTTTGCAGGCTCCTCGGCAGCATGAGTGGTCACTATGGGCCTGGCCGAGAGCTGGGAACCAAGAGTGGGACGTGGGAGCATGACTGGCCCTGCAATCCTTCCAGCCATGAGGGGCGAGGGTCGCCAGCACCCAGGCCAGAGAGCAAGGCCAGTCAGCCTCCAGCCCCTGGACACCGGGCAGGAGCCCAGCAGCGTTTCTCTGCACAGCAGCTGCAGTACACTCTCCTCAGATGCTTCTCGCAGCCCGGCTTGCAAGGGGAATGGGAGCCTCCCGAGGGGCCCTGAGCCATCTTTCTAAGCTTCTTTTCTGAGCAGGGGTGGCCCTCAGACAGCATTCCCACAGAAGGAAGGTGTTCTCGCTCTGGCTTGGAGGACAATGGTGACGAGTGCTCCTCATTCTCCCAGCCAGGTAAAGGACCCAACAGCCCCAGCTACTCTCATGCCCAGGGCACTCACATGGCCCCAGCCTGGAGGGCATGACATCCCGACACACGGCTCAGGGGCAGGCAGCTTCTCATCTATGGAGTCAGGCCCTTCAGTCGCTGGAGCCTCCAGGCCATCTGCCCCCGGCACACAGGTCTCGTTCTGCAAGGCTGGGCCTGCTCCACTGGCTGATGTGCATGGGCTGGGCTCTGACACCTCCCACCTGAAGATGGCATGAGACAGTCATCAGGCCCTGCCTCTTGCCACCCAGTGGAAGGTACAGCCCAGCTGCTAGGGGCAGGGAGGCAGAGGACCTGCTCCCCAACATCCAGGAGCCCAAAGGGGGGCCACACAGAGAAGTGAAGCTCAGGGTCTCTCCCTGAAGCACTGGGTTCTCCATTCATCAGCCAGCAGGTTCCCATTCAACAAGCACTCGCTGCTCAGCAGTCAGGCACCCCCCTGCCTCCAGGGTGCAGAGACAGAACCTATCCCTGGCTGGGTGCAGTAGCTCACACCTGTATTCTCAGCACTTTGGGAGGCTGAGGTGAGCAGACTGCTCGAGCCCGAGAGTTGGAGACCAGCCTGGGCAACACGGCAAAACCCTGTTTCTACAAAAAATACAAAAATTAGCTGGGCTTGGTGGCGCAGGCAGGAGGCTGCAGTGAGCCAAGATCATGCCACTGCATACCAGGCTGGGTGAGAGAGCAAGACTCTGTCTTAAAAAAAAAAAAAAAAAAAGGAAGAGAACCCATCCTTCCCACCCTCCAGAGGCAGAGACCGACCTCCAGCCAGGCAATCACTGACTCCATACACCATAGCAGGTGCAGAGAAACAGGTGCCACATGGACTCGGATCACCAGGTTCAAGGGTGGCCAGTGGGTTTCAGCTGTGAGTCAGCCCTGCGCTGGAGTGGCTGCCTGGAGAGCTGTGTTGAGAAGGATTCTGAGGCCCTATCTGGCCTCAGTGGGGAAAAGTGGTGATTGCTTTGTCTGCCACAGATGAGGGGGCAGGGAAAGGAGTCCAGAGCTATGAGTGGGCCACCAATGATCCAGACCAATCCCCTCCCACTGGACAGGTCACAAAACTGAAGCCCACAGAGGAGGGGACTTGCCCTGTCACTCAGCTGGTTAGTGGCAGGGCAGGATGATAAGCCACTGTCAACTTGGACACTGAGGGGATGAGATGCAGCCCTGTGGGCACGGTGGAGATGGTGGTGATGAGCAGGTGACATCTCCCACTCCGTTCAGTTTGACCTCATCCTCGAAGCCACCCCCTCCCCAGGCAGGTCGGCATTCCCAGTTCAGAGCAGGGGCTCGGAAGCTCAGAGACGGAAACAATGGGTCCAGGCTCTCCTGGGTAGTAAGGAACTCTGACACCGGCACTTACAACCGCCAGGTGACACTGCCCATCACCCTGGATGGTGAGGCTCCACCAGAGGCCTCAGGAGGAGGGGATTCAGAAGGACAGGGGCTCAGTGCAGGGACGAACTCTGCCGGGGAGGCCCTCTCCCAGGCCCACCTAGCCCTGGGCTCACCTGGCGGGGCAGGGCTGGGGGTTGCAGATTTCCACTGCCACAGCTGGCTGCTGGGCCCCTGCTGTGCACCGGGCTGGGGGCAACGTCTTCAGGAGGCTGCCCTGGGCCTCCACGCAGCGCACTGGCCGCTCCCGCAGGCCGCCCCCACAGGAGACACTGCATGGGCCGAAGTCTCCCACCGCCCAGCTGAGGAAGGAGACAGAGCGCTGGGGCCCTGGCCAGGTCCCAGGCTAACTTGGGGTGATGGGGTGGTGGGTGCTGACACACTTCGCCTGGTCTGGGACAAGCACTGGGCACTAGGACCAGCCTAGCCTCTCCAGGTGGCTGAGCCTGAGGACACCCGAATCACATGCTGGTGGGCAGCTGCCCTGTCCTGCACCCAGCAGGGATGACCTTGTCCCTAACAGTGTGCCCATCAGGTGCAGTGACAGCCAGGGGCTTTGCACCAGAGCTCCCCAAGTCTCCCCACAACCCTCCAGGTAGGCAATCACCTCCATCTCGCCATGAGCACCTGAGCTCAAGAGAGGCCTCGGTGGCCCAGACAAGGTGGCAGCAGGTGTGGGTCCCACTGGGCTGACATTGTCACCGTGTCTGCCCTGAGCCTCAGTGTCCTCACGTGCAGAAGGGGGCACTCACAGAGCCCCCTCGCAGGGCTGTGGGCAGGGGTAGTGAGAGCCTGCACAGAAGCAGCTCAGCCCGGCCCTGCCACATGGGCCCCATAGGCCAGGGACAGAGCCCAGCAGCCCCAGCAGAACCCACTCTCCCACCGGAGCTGCGCAGACAGCACCACACTCACTACGGAGGGCAAGGTTCGAGCACGCAGGCCTCTGGCCACGCTGGTGGCTGCTGGCTCCCTTGGCACCGGGCAGTCTCCACCAACTCCTTCCTGGCCTGGTCCAGGCAGCTGTAGTTTACCCAGCGCAGCCCTGGGAGGGAAGCGGGAGGGCTAGGCTGCCTCCCTGTAGGGGCAAGCCATGCTGTGGGCGAGCCTTCCCTGGGTCTCACCTGCCCCACAGCTCACCGAGCAGGGCCCACGCACAGCGGCCCACACCCAGGCCTGCCGCGGCTTAGGCTGGAAGTAGGTGAAGGTGATGTCTGGGCAGGTGAGGTTGCCATACTCCTCGCCGTACCGCCTGTAAACCTGCAGAGAGACAAAGAGCTTCAGGCCTTGTCCAGTGGGTTCCCTGAGGGTCACTGTCATGGCCACCTCCCCTGGGAAGCCTCCCAACTTCTTCTTCCATCCCTATAATCTTCCGTTCAACGAGCAATCACTGGCCAGGCACGGTAGCTCATGCCTGTACACCGAAAACTTGGGGAGCCTGAGGCAGGCAGATCACTTGAGCCCAGAAGTTTCAGACCAGCCTGGGCAACATTGTGAGACTCCATCTCTATTTAAAAAAAAAAAGTCAAAAAATCAGCTGGGCATGATGGGGCACGCCTGTAGTCCCAGCTACTTGGGAGGCTGAGGTGGGAGGATCACTTGAGCCCAGGAGGTTGAGGCTGCAGTGAGCTGTGATAGTGCCACCGCACTCCAGCCTGGGCGACAGTGAGACCCTCTCTCAAAAAACAACAAAAACAAAAATAATGACAGGCAATCGCCGACACTGACCTGTACCAGACTCTGGGTAGAGCACAGTGCACAGGACACTGGCTGAGCCACAAGGAGCTCTCAGTGGGTTGGGATAGGGGGCTGGGGACAGGTAATTACCAAGTCATTGGTAGGTTAGGGGATAGGGTATTCAGGCAGCACAGAGAAGGCTCCCTAAGCTGGTTGGGTAAAGGATAATGTACAATGGAGGAGGCAGGCCCACCTAAGGCTGAGCTAAGGAGCCCAAGAAGGGCTAGGGCACGGCCAGCTCAGAAAGGGCTTCTGGAGCCAGAGCTGAGGCCTGTGGGGTTGGCAGGAAGAAACTGGATCCCTGGGGCCCTGTGGCCGGCTACTGGCTTGGGCCTGGCCTGGAGAGCACTGGGAAGAATTTCAGCAGGTTCCTGGGCCTGAGGCTCTTCAGGAGGGTAACTGGGTCCTGTGCCCAAGGCCAGCCCAAGAAAGAGGCCAGCCTGGAGGCCAGAGCCCAGGGCGAGGTGACATTCAGCACCTGCCCCCTCGATGCCCACATCTGGCCACCGCCTCAAGCCTGTGTTGGTTACAGTGGGGCTTCTCAGGCCCAACACAGGGATGTCTTGATTCAGGGAATGTGCAGAGGACCCAAGAATCTGCTGTTTTACACACTGCAGAGGATGACGGGAGAGCCACTCAGCAGCCAGCATCTGGAGACAATGTCCCAGGCAAGGGGAGGGGAGGAAGGGAGCCCTATTGGGGGAAGGGAAGGGATGAGCCACTCACAGGGGCTTGCTCCGGCCCGGCCTGGCCTGATATTGGGGAGGCCCTGCTGTCTCTGGCAGCTGTAGGGGCAGAGGACGCTGCCAGAGCAGCCAGCTGGAGCCGCTGAGACTGGGCCCCTCTCCCAAGGTTCTCAGGTCTGTTTCAGCCTGCGCTCACGTCTCTCCACCCTCCACATGCCTTCCTCAGCAAAGCATCAACGGGGACATACAGGGGCGAGCACACAACACCGAGGACACACCTGAACAAGGCCTTCCGGTTCCCACGCACTCTACCCCAAAGAAGCAGTGGGAGCCAGCATCCGTTCTCAGCATCCTCAGCACCAAGGCCTGCTCCCCAGATGCCACTGCCCCTGCATCCACGCCTTCATCTCCCCACAAATCCACACAGTAGGACCTTCCTTCATCCCTCCCACACCGACACTGTTCCCTTGGTCATACGCTTCCCTCCCTGCTTGGCCTGGCAGTATCTGCTCATCTGAGACCTCAGCTCCATCACTCTTTCCCAGGGAGCCCTGGACCCCTGCCTGGGGCCCTCCGACCCTACCTGATCCCAGAACTGCAGGGCCTTCTCCCACAGGCTCTGGGCACAGGCACATTTGGATATTTATTTGTGGGACCCTAAGCCCCTGGAGGAGCTAGCTGCATTTTGCTTAGCACAGGGCCCAATACATAGTAGGTTCCCCGTAAGTGGCCACTGAATGAATAAATGAACGAATCAGGGAATGGATGGATGGACAAACGCGCAAGCAGCCATAGCCCCCAAGAAGAAGCCCCCACTGGCCTCCCCCAGGCTCTCCTGCTGACCTGGATCTCAGCATCTTCCTGGAGGGGTCCCCAGATGCGGATCTCCTCCAGGCGGGGCAGCCGGTCCTCGGTGAGGGCCACTCTGTACTCGACACGGCCATCCTCCAGGAGGGAGGGGTAGGTAGTGTTAGGGGAGATGCTTGTCTTCCCAGCCACGACGTAGCGCCCTCCGATCCTCACCGCTGTCGGAGAACCAGCTCTGTTAGCCGTGTGGAACTGAGCGCCCATCCTCCTCATAGGCACATGTCAGTGACTCTCCTTCCCAGGGTCCCCAGGCCTCTTCTAAGGAGCTGCAGGCATCTGAGCCACAGGCTTCCCCACAGCGGAGGCTCTGTGCCTCTTTCCACAACCTGGTGAGTGCCATGAGCAAGTGCACTCATGCACAGAACTCGACAGGTTCAGGGCTCAGGGACCCCACGGCAAGGGCCAGCAACCAAGGCTTCAAAGGTTAGGTGCAGGCACACTCCAGAAAGAAAGACCCACTGTGGCCCTGAACAGCAAAGAAGCAGCCTTGCCCAGAGAGAAGCCCGGCCTTTGCTGTTGGCTTCCAAGAGGAGACACAGGTCACACGAGGCAGAAGTGTCTTCCTTTAGGGCGGGGGCTGGCTATACCAGAAAGACCAACTATGTGATTTAGGGTAGAGGCTTTGGGTCACCAGGAGACTGAGAGTATCCACGTGGTCAATTAGTCAATCACGGCTTTGCACTCAAATCCCAGTAAAAACTCTCAACTCCCACTCGGTGGGCTTTCAGTATGGGCAATACTCCATGTGTATGGCCACGCTCCAATGCTAGAAGGGTGTCACATCCCTGAGACATCAGGCCTCCTGTTTGGACCCTCCCAGACTCTGCCTACATCTCTTCCCTTGGACAATTCTAACCCATGTCCTTCTGGAAGGAGCCACAGCCACATGCCACAGCTCTCAGTGAGCTCTGGGAGTCTTCCTAGTCAATTATCAAGCCTGAGGGTGGTTTGGGGAACCCCTTGAACTTGCGAGTGATGTCAGAAGTGAGGGCATCTTGGGGACAGTGTCCTGTACCTTTTCAGTCTAGCTAACTGGGTGGGAGTCCTCCAGTCAACTCACCCAAGTGTGTGAAGAGAGGCCTGTGGTTGGCAATGTAGACACTGGTCAGGTTGGGGGTAACCGTCAGAAATGTGACATATTCTAGAAAGAAAAAAAGAAGGAAAGATGCGTGGACCTCACGGCCACCACATCACAGACAAAGGGAGCTGATCTTCGCTGGTCGGGAAAAATTGAACAATGCCATGGGGCTGGCTCCAGCAGCACTGAGTCCCCTGTCATGGGGGCAATTAAAAGCAGGCTGGAGGACCACCTGCCAAGGCTCTGCCCTGGCTGGGAGAAGGGACCAGGGCCAAGGTTCTCCAGTACAGTGGGGCACGCCAGAGGGAGGCAGGGCTCAAGTCTCTGCTCTCCAGAGAAGCGCTGGCATTTACAAATGATTTTTGACCTCATATATACACCAAAGTCAAAGATTTTCCAAGTGTGACTACCATCCCTCTCACTCACTTGTGTCCCTCTCAGTGGGATTTCTTGAGCAGGAGAGAAGAGGCTAGCTGCTACAGAATGCACGATGTCCGGATTATTATTATTTTTTTAGAGTGTCTCGCTCCTTTGCCCACGCTGGAGTACAGGGGGATCTCCACCTCCCTGGTTCAAGCAATTATCCTGCCTCAGCCTCCTGAGTAGCCGGGACTACAGGTGTTCACCACCACGCCGAGCTAAGTTTTGTATTTTCAGTAGAGACAGGGTTTCACCATATTGGCCAGGCTGGTCTTAAACTCCCGACTACAGGTGATCCACCCGCCTCAGCCTCCCAAAGTACTGGGATTACAGGCGTGAGCCACCACACCCGGCCAATGTCACTGGTAGATCAGGCACTGACATCCCATCTCTGAGTCTCAATTTCCCATCTGTGAAATGGAGATAATAGCAGTAAGCCCCTCCCTGGTCACTACAAGGATTCAGGGAGATAATCGGGAACTACCAAGTGTGTTCCTTGGTTCATAATTCTGTTTTTTTGAGACAGAGTCTTGAGCACAGCTACAGTGAGCCACCATTACTGAGGCACCACGGTCCCAGCAGCATCAAGGCCAAAATCTGAGCCTGCCACAGGAGGGTGGCGAAGTGGAGGAGGGAGATGCTGACACTGCAGGAGGCATCCAGGGCTGAGTGAGTGCGCGGGCCCTGTGACCTGAGCAGCCCCTGCAGCAGGGCTCCGGACTGTGGCCGTCTTGGAGGCTGGGGGAAGCCCAGCCTCTGCCCTGAGGGAGGCTGCCTACCTCTCGCTCTTCCAGCTGTGAAAGAGCCGTTCCGTGGGCTGCATGTGCTGTTGTCCCCGCCACACACCTGGCACACGTCCCGTACCTGCTGGGAGTCCATCCTGCCATCACAGCCAAATGTCTATGCAAAGGGAAGGACAGGGGGCCAGTGTCACTGGAGGGTGCTGGCCTCAGTGACGCTGCAGCCCTGCCAGCTCTGGGGTTCTGGGATCCACAAAACCAGCAACACTTCTGCAGCACCCCCACATCTACCCAGGAAGCAAGCTTAGAGGGCTCAATGACTTGCCCAAGGTCACACTGCAGCCCTTAACCCAGGCTGACTCCAAGTCCAGATCCTTTTCCCCAGCACCACTCTCCTGCAGACTCACTGCAGCCCCACTAGGGCCAGCACCCACCGACCTGCCCCCAGGAGCCTTCCGATAGGACAGGCAGGCCCCAGGGCCATCGCCAATGTCCACACACGCCTACCCTGCAGCTGCCCGACACGCACAGGCTTAGGGTCCCGTCCTCCCGGGCGCCACTTGGCACACACCGGGTCCCATCCAGGAAGCTGTCTCCACGCTTCATGATGAAGCTCTCGCCAATTGCCCGGCACATGTGCCTGCACAGAGCATCCCCTGGGAGGGCAGAGTGAACAAGGGGTCCTGAACCGAGCAGGAGGGGCAGGCCTCCCAGCCCCCACCCAGCTTCATCCTTTGCATCTGGGGCAAGGGTTTCTATCTGCCCCCCATCCTACCTCCTAAGGCAATAATCCTAATCACAATCCTAATCTAATCTAGTAACTAATGGTATTGAATTATGAACCAAGGCTGGGTGCAATGGCTCATGCCTGTAATCCCAGCACTTTGGGAGGCCGAGGCAGGCAGATCACATGAGGTCAGGAGTTTGAAACCAGCCTGGGCAACATGGTGAAACCACATCTCTACTAAAAATACAAAAAAAAATTAGCCGGCATGGTGGTGCAAGCCTGTAGTCCCAGCTACTCGGGAGGCTGAGGGGCAAGAATTCCCTCAATCCCAGAGGCGGAGGTTGTGGTGAGCTGAGATCGCGCCACTGCACTCCAGCCTGGGCAATAGAGCAAGACTCTGTCTTAAAAAAACAGAATTACGAACCAAGGGACACACTTGGCATTTCCCGATTCTCTCCCTGAATCCTTGTAGCGACCAGGGAGGGGCTTACTGCTGTTATCTCCATTTCACAGATGGGAAATTGAGACTCAGAGACGGGATGTCAGTGCCTGATCTGCCAGCGAGGCCTGGCCACTATGTGATCCACAGTCTGTGGGACACCAGAGCCTGAGCCGTATTGCCAAGTGCTGGAGAGATAGTAGGCCAACCCCCCACGACTCTGCCCTGCCCGAGGGTCTCCAGGGCTGGCTCCTCCCCTGACCCCACACTCCGCAGGCCTCACCTTGGCTGTGTGGTACAGCAGCGCCCCAGTGGTAGAAGGAGGCACCGCCAGGGGAGGAGTGCAGCGGCTGGCCGTCCGTCCTGGCACACTGTTCCGACATGAACTCCAGCTGGGTCTTCTCACAGGCCTGGCCAGGAGGAGGCAGAGGACAGGCAGAGGAGGGAGATGGGGAGGGGGGGTGTTGTCACTGGGAGACTGCACGGCACCCTGCAGTGTGGGATCAAGATATGGGTGTGGCCTCAGCTCCAGGCTGTGCCTCGGTTCCCTGCTCTGTAAACCGGGGTGACAAAAGTGCCTGCCCGTCTCTATTGATGGGAAAACTCCTGGGAATCTGTAAAGAACACAGGGCAGCAACAAAGAAGAAAGCTGGGAAAGAGCATTACACTCGGCGCCTCTGCTTCCAACGCCTAAACTCAGTAAAACAGTGATGGGGATGTGTATTCTTTAGGTAGCGCACCTAGAGGCAGGTAACCAAAGCACGGAGCAAAGACCTCACCACCGGAGCCTCTGCACTCAGGCAGGCGTCCTGGACTTTTATGCACTGACAGAAGATAATCGGAGTCGACTCCCTGGACGGCCACACTGACCACTCTGCCTCCATGAAATCCCACCACCCTCTGCTCCAGCCAAAGACCCTCCCCTCGCGATCTGGGGAGGTCTTGGGGGTCCATTTGGAGAAGGAGGAAAGGGAGGGTCTCACCATACAGAACGTGTAATACATACATGGCCAAACCCACACCCAGGGCCATCCAAGCAGGGGACAGAATTTAACTCAATCTTTCTGGCCGGGTGCGGTGGCTCAAGCCTGTAATCCCAGCACTTTGGGAGGCCGAGATGGGCGGATCACGAGGTCAGCAGATCGAGACCATCCTGGCTAACATGGTGAAACCCCGTCTCTACTAAAAAATACAAAAAACTAGCCGGGCGAGGTGGCGGGC